CCTGAGCTCCATGGAAGAAGTAAATGCACAATTAGATACCATCTACAATATAAAAACAAATCACCATATGTAAAAATAATCCTATTTCATTTAATTACTGCTGTAGCATTGAGTAAGTTTCATTTGGAATTGTTCTACAAAGCAGTGTTTTATAATTAAGGGTATTTTTAATGGACTCCACAGTATAATTATATTTCAAAAATTACATTGAAACTCTTTAAAAAAATTCTCATTAATTATTGTTCCTTCTATCCCTGTGGAAAAAAAGAGAAATCAAAAAAGCAATATTTAAATATAAATTCTAAATTTATCTGAGACAGTGAAAAATTCAGAGATGACAAAAATTCCAGAGATCAACTTTCAGAGCTGTTGCGTAAGGAATGTAGTGGCTTAGTGTCAGATTTTTGAAAAAAATGGAAATTGTAAAGAAAAATGTATCACATATTTTCTTGTTAGCAGTGTTGAGCCCATTGCAATTTAAATATTGGCTGTAGAGATACAGTGGCAGCATGCTCCCCAGGTAAAGAACTTCATAGTATAAAATAATTTATAAAAATAAAAGGGATATGCATCTTTCAAGGCATCTTTTCATATTCTTCTTTTTTCTGTTTATGTTCAGCATGATCTACGCTTTAGTGACTTCCTAATTCAAAGATTATGTAAAAAACTGAAAACAAAAGTGACCGTATCCAGCCTACAGTGATGCCTAATACTAAAACACAGCAACAAAATGGAAGCTTTAAATCCAGCAGCCATACAGGATATAAAAGAGCAAGAGATAAAGCCCTATAAGAATAACAGGTGACAGCACAAGTGGAAAAAAATGAAGTGATTGATAGCTGAGCAAGCTCGTTTTCGTCTTTCCTTCCTTCGTTTTTTTATTTCCCAGGATAAAACAAACTAGATATTTATAATGTGTGAAATAGACAGTTTCATCTGCATGTGATGGAGTATGACTTTTATTATATTAATTTATCTTCAGAGTGCAGATTCTGCCACAAACAAGATTGTTTCTGTATCCTTTTTCCCCTCCGAGGGACTTGAAAGCAAGGCAACTATCCTCTGGACCTGTGGTCAAGTAGATGCAGATAATATATGTGTGTAATACTCTGCATTCAATCATATGCTGGAGAAAAGTTGGGAAACATTTGGCTTTTTGTGATTTTGGTGACTGAAGAAAACATATCTTGGGAGAACAAGGGGCCAAAACCCATTCAAATTGCACTCAGTTGTTCTTCGTGATAATGTTCCAACTATTCTGAATTAGGGAAGGTAGTGCAGTAAAACAATATTATGTTATATATTAATAATACAGTTATGTCAAGCACTCTATAATATTGCATTCCTCCTACTGGAGGAAAAATGTCCTAGTAATGTAATGAATGCTTCAACAATTTTTACAGCCTGCAGTACATATTAAAAGGGCCAATTTATTTTTGTCTGGAGTCCTGTCAAATCAATGTAATAATTTCAGTTGAATTAAAATTAACAGGATTCCTTCCTTCCTTCCTTCCTTCCTTCCTTCCTTCCTTCCTTCCTTCCTTCCTTCCTTCCTTCCTTCCTTCCTTCCTTCTCCATGTATTCAGCAGATCTGCAACATGGGTAGATGTTGCAGAACAAAATGCTGGTTGTTTTTCATTTTGTGTACTATCTTTCAAACTTTGGTGTGAGATATGCTCACAAAGACAGTAAAGATTGGTGTTGAATCAATATTTAAAGTTACATTCTCAAATGTATTTGTTGGGGATAAAGCCAATGAAATTTTGTATATGAAGAACTGCCATAACTTATGATTTTTGAAGAGAGAAGAGATAAATAGTACAGTAACCTAAAATCTCAGCAGGTGGGCCACATTTGCATTAATTGATAAAATATATTTTACGTTGAAAAGACTGGAACAGCTTATTCCTTCAGCCCCTCTTTTTTCCTATCAATGTGCCAACTGCAAACTGAAATCATACAGTACAAAACACTGTCCTGGAAAGAAGAAGAGACTGAATACAGTGCAGCCTGTATTTTTTAAAAAAATAATTTTAATATTTTTTTGTTTTATTTATTTAAAATATCTATATAGCTGCCAATTGTATGCAACATAACCATGAGCAGCTTAAAAACAATAGTAATTACAAACATAAAAACTAACACACAACTTTGCTAAGGTACAAACAAAATGTGGAAAGAAATTATGGAAAGAAATATAAGAGGTGGAAAGTGAAACACATTTATTCAGCTCACAATTTTATACCTGAGCTTGTAATGTCTATCTAATAGTGTATTTTAAGTTGTTTGCTACACCTAAGCCTAATAGATCTTGATAAAACAACAAATTCTAAATTCTTAGTAAACATGCATGTTTTATGTTCTCAAAGTCACCTGTGAAAAGACATAAAACAAGCTAACTCAGAAATTAGCTCCATTATATTCATTGGTTCATATACCCAGATATATGAGTACAGGATTGTTATCCCTGTGCACATTTTCTTGAGAACAAATACTCTTGACTTCAGCATGAATCTTAGTCTCATCACCTACTAGACATGGGGTCATTTTATTGACCCCAATAGTGATTCTATATTCAGCCTACAAACTTAATCTTAGGACTGTTTATTTACTGCATTTTTTTGCCAACTTTTGGACCTCATTAGTTATACTTATCCTGCATTTTTTTCTGATGAAAAATTCTAGAGGGCTGAGTAGCTTGCATTTTGTATTATCTTTCTTGTATGCTATAAAAGTATTACTCAGCTATGGATTTGGGATATTTATATAATATGCTATAAATTAATTTTTCTAGAACCAAATAATATTACACATCATGTTTTCAGTGCATATGTTCAGTCAGGTATGCAAGGTTAATGGGTGTTTGGTAAAATAAATTAAAACAGTAAATATTTTTAGCAGACTATAACAATGACAATATTGTTATATTGTCAAAAGCTTGTCAGTAACACTGTTGAAATTCAAACTTGGAATCTGTATAATTTTATGATTTAATTAAATAAATATCTGCATTTTTTGTAAAGTTTGAGATATCTCTAGTAATTTTGTTAAATGCAATAGGAATCATTTGTGTTTTATTTAAAAGTAAAATACTCAATTAAAAGGTGTCCTGCTGTATTGTGTTATGCAAACTTCAACCTAGATGGTCTTGTGTGCCCAAATAGTCCAATATATTAATTATATTTGAAAAATTTCTTCCCTTTAATTTATTTTGTTGGTCTCATTTTATTTGGGGACATAGTCATGAATGGACAAAAATAAGCTGAGATCCAAGTATGACTGTCCCATTGAGGCATCTGCTTCCTATTTTTGTGCTTAAATAGAGGCGAGAGAAAGCTGTTTTGAATCTACATTTCTTTGCATGTGAATGCTTACATCCTTGTATGGTCAGATCTATCACGTATTTTTGTTGAACAAACTTTGAAGGATCTTCTATTGATAATTGAACACAGTCAATGAACAATGAATGCATATAACCATATGATATTCTATCAGTTATGATATACCTCTTTGTCACAAGTTTAAAAGCAACCATAGAACATAGAATAAGAGTTGGAAGGGACCTTGGAGGTCTTCTAGTCCAACCCCCTACTTGAGCAGGAGACCCTATACCATTTCAGACAAATGATTGTCCACTTTCTTTTTGAAAACCTCCAGCACCCACATCTACACTGATCTACAACCATCTACATCTACAAATCTATAACCAGATCTACATTGATCTATATTTAAACTATGCTGTTGCATGAGTACTTAAAAATCCTCAAGGTAAGACAAAAATATTGAGAAATAGGAAGAGTGTGATAGGGAGAAGGAAAACTTTTCTTAAATCATTCTTCATACGTTCAATCTGGGAAAATATTTCAACTAGCACTTAAGATGTTCTAAATTATTCCCTTGTTATTGTTTGAAATGGAAGCATTTCCAGTGTTGAAGAGAACTCAATGTATACTATGAAGTTTTCCATTCAAGAAAATGTATTTGTATCAGCATTAAATTGGTTAAATGTCAATGGTTAAAAAAATGAATGGGTATTCTTTCTATGATGATGGAAGTTCTTTATATTGCTGAATCTCATTTATTATCTAAGTTAATACTTTAAATTTCTCAAAAACTCTTGTAGTATATTACATAGATGCTATCAATTCCAGAAGCTTTGCTCAATGTCAGCTGATCTATAAATTTGGTATCTATTGTGTTCAAATACTTTTTCGTCTTTCTTAGATCAGGTGTTTGTTTACTATATAATCTTAAGTGATATTTAACAAATTGATCCATCACATCTGTCATTGTGGTGATATTCTTTGTTCTGTCCCAAATTAAAGTAATAGTTCTTTGGTTCTTTACACTATAAACTTGCAATTTATCTGACTTGTTGACTTTTCCAGAATAAAAGCAACATCTTCTAGGTCTCATTTACTTCCATTAAACTGTGCTAATTGGACTTTTAAAAAACTTTGTTCTAAGCCTCAAACTAAATATTCTTGGGCTTTAATTCTAATTGCTTTAATTCATTCACTAGCATTGTTTCTGGTTTTGCCTTCCTTTCTTTTTGATGCCAGCTATATAAACAATTCTATCTCATAAATGCTTGGTTGGTGTCCCATACTGTAGTTAAACAAAGTTCATTGGGTTGTAATATCTGCATCTGCGTCTATAAGACTGGTAAGTTTATAATACGTTTTATGGGCTAAAGAGTAATATGTATATTCTTTCTCTGCAGGGATATTGTTATGACCCTGCTTTGAAAAGAGATATAAGGACATATTTTGAGGGAATTTATGTATTTATTTATCTAATTTATATCTTATATTATTTATACTTTTATATAAAGCAGATTTATCTATATTTGGAGAGGAAAAACATGACTACAGAAATATAATATCTCTCTGCAATTTGAAGAAATGATTGAAAACAATATTTTGCAGAACTTTATTTTGTTGCTATTTGGGGCATAAATTGAAGCAATTGTTATAAAACACAGTATAAATCTCCTTTGTTCATCTTGGATTTATTTTTCCACACAGCTTTTTTAAAGATCCTGAGTACAATGCTTCATGTGAAGAGCTCATCAAAAAGAAGGGGAAAGGAAGTGCATTTGACATTCATCATGTGCTCTTCCTTACACCAACCTCAACAGATGGCAATACTGGTTAACTTAAGCAGGGCTGAGCCTGGTTAGAACTCGGTTGTATACTTTTTATCTTTTAATAGTGGTTACGGAGATGATGATTTTTACTTCAGTACTATATCTTAGATATGAAACAAAAATAGTACATGTTTATTGATCATTTCATAATAAGATATAATTTTCACATGAAAACCTGACCTAGTTACTTCAAAATTATGAGGCTTTGTGCTTCCCAATAGACAATAACAGTGAATTCATGGACATAAAGTGCTTTGTAATTAACTTGAAGAAACAACATTTACAATTATAATAATATTTCATTTTAAAATATTGCCTCACTTCAAAATAATTTTTAAAGTATGTCACACAGTGAAAGTATAAACCTTTAGAACAGTAGTATGGAAACAGCTAGGGTTTAGGCAATTGGAAATTCTTAATAGCATGGCAGGATTAGCTTCAGTTGAGGCCTATACTATTTTGAATGAAATGACTGTTTTCTTTGTAATTGAAACAAAGGAACTCATGTGCATCTACAGTATTTGCTATGTGGGTATATTTTAATACCGACTGTGACAATTGCATGATAACTGTTCTAAGAAGAGCTGTTGGACAGCAGTCAGAATTACTGAGGATTACTGAAGACTATGGAGCAGAGATCCCCAACCTTTTGGGCACCAGGGACTGGTTCTGTGAAGAAAGGTTTTTCCACGGACCTGAGAGTGTGTGGCTTTGTGTGCTGCCTGCATCCCACGGATGGGGCTTTGCTTGTTTGTGCAGACCGGTTGCTGGCATGCTGCGGACCTATAGAGGAAGGAAAAAAATCATTTCAGTTGACAAACGGCATGACTTGTTTTGAGATTTGCTTTGCAAGCTGAGCTGATCAGTTCTGCCATGTTGAAAAAAAATTACGGTCTCATTTAAAAGTAGTGTAAAGCTCGGAAACCTTCATGCTGTTTTGTATATTTTCCCCCCCTTGGCTTGTCTACGGAAGCAGGGGGGGGGAGAATGGAATGTGTGTTGCAGCTGTGGATGGTCATCCATGAGTCTGTTTTGTGTACTGAAGATTCTTTCTCATAATAATTGTCTGGAGCTTAATTGGGTAATGTGACCTGCACTGTGAGGGGGGAAAGGGAGTTGCTATATGTTTAATATACTGCTTTGGCGCCAATTTAATCAGAGCTGACTTTCGTATTCATTAGTGCCAGCATACTATGCTCAATAAAGCCTGGCATTAGAAATCGCAATGTCTCAGGTGTACTTGCTTTGTTGGGGTCAGCAGCCAGAACTTTGACATTAAGTCAGCTCTCATTAAAAATGAAAATCGAGTAAGGGGTCCTGAGTTCCTACACCCTATCTAGTCACCTCTGTAGGG